TGTGTGTATCTGTGAGTGTGTGTCTGTGAGTGAAAGTGTGTGTGTCTGTGAGTGTGTCTATGAGTGTGTGTATGTATGTGTGTGTGTCTGTAAGTGTGTGTGTCCAAGTGAATGTGTGTGTGTGTGTGTCTGTGAGTCAATGTGTGTCGGTCAGTGAATGTGCATGTGTTGGTCAGTGAGTGTGTATGTGTCGGTCAGTGAATTTGTGCGTTTGTCAGTGCGTGCGTCTGTCAGTGAGAGTATGCGTCTGTCAGTGTGTGTCCGAGTAATAGTGTGTGTCTGTCTGTGTGTCAAATCAGTGAGTTTGTGTATGTTTGTCATTATTTGTCAGTGTATATGAGAGTGTGTGTCTGTCAATGAGTGTATGCATCTATCAGTGAGTGTGTGCGTCTGTCAGTCAAAGTGCGGACTTGACCGAGCACTGTCCTGCTTAGGGCAGCAGAAATCCTAAATACACCACTGCTCGTATCTCACCACCAACTAGATGTGCATTTGTTGGAAGCAAGGTTCAAGTCTGTGAATTCCAAATGAAGGGTAAATAGATGATAACACATTAAAAGTATTCATACAAATAAATACTAAATCATTGTTAAAAAGGACAATAGGCTTCACCAATCAATAAGAAATTACAATTAGTCATTTCCCTATTGCATTTTGTCAGCTCCTTTGTATTTATAAAGGATAGACAGGGTTCAAAGGGAATACAAAGTGAATTTCAAATGTAAGGCAATATAGATAAACTGGAAAAAGTCAGCTATCCTTCTAGTCTGGCTACATTGGCCTAAAATTTGAAATTCATTGTGAATTCACTCTGAATTCTCAGTTTTCAGAGATAGGAAGCCTTCGTTACTCCAGATATTGTGGACTACATCTCGCTTGATGTTTTGCCAGCTTCATGGCCGTTAAAGTGTTATGGGAGGTGTAGTCCACAACATCTGCAGTGCCGAAGATTGACTATCTCTGGTTTAGTGAATACCTTGATAGAGTCCCGAGAGAGTGCTTCTGTATTTACCCTTGATAAAGTGTAAGAAGTTGACAAAATATGTTGGGAGAAGGAAAAGTTATACCAATAGTGACTTCTTGTGGATTGGTGAAATCTGTTGTGCGGGTGTAATATAAATATCAGTTTATAAAACTAATAGAGGTTCATCCACAGGGGCATCATCATCTGTTTTGTGTGGAAAATGTATATTGCAGTAGTTTAGATTGTATTATTGGAGGGGAGTGTGCGCTAATCCAGAAAATATGGGTAAAATTGTGTCTCTTTAATTCTATAATAGGTTTTTGTTCTGCAGGTCCCCTTCCCCTTATTGGTAGCTGTTTGGAGCAGTTTAATCGAGAGCATCAAGACATGCCAAAAATGAGGTTGGTTTTAACTCTGCCCTGTTTCAAAAGGTCATGTGCTGCTATCACCCCAGCCTACCATTGCTTATGCAGAAGGACAAGCAGTAACCCCCAAAAGAGAAAAAAATAGGGCAGGGGTTCACGGGAGGAAAAAATGTGTTCAAGGTGCTACACAACTATTTTGTTGAAGTATATAGAGAAAACACAAAACACAAGGGCACTTGCTTTGAAAAAGAGGCAACACCCAAAATATCTGGGTTTTCTCCATACCCTTCAATAAAACATTTGTGTAGCACCTTGTGCACAATTTTGCATTCCAAGAAGCGTTGTCCATTTTTTTTCTACTGTGGTTCAAAGTAAATTAACAAAAACTGTGGACAAAGTGTTACGTTAAAATGACTTTATTAAATATATCAGCAATTGCCAGCTCTGCATTTGAAAGATTTGGCCTTTTATCTATATTTTTTGCACTGATGGATTTAAAAAACCAAGGCAGTTACAGACTCTTCTTAAGAAGTACAGTCCCAATTCTGCTTCAAATACTGTAATAAAGAGATGGGATCAACAAATTAGCTACAAGGTGATTTCACATGTTAACATGTGAATTCGCGATTTTAAAAGAGGTGTGAAAAATCGTGAGATGTATTCAGCAGAAAGCAAGAGCTATGTTTATCAAAATGCAAATTAATTCAGTAGTAAATAAACAATGATGCAATTTAGTGAATTCGATCTTGCCCAGTTTTTATCCAAGTATCATCATTCATCTCATAACTGGGAGTTGTGAAGACAGGACGGGAGTGGGGGCAAGACAGTAGGTCACATGTTAGGGATGATTGTGCTCCTACCGAAACGAAACATGCCTTTTGACAGTTTGTTGTGTAAAACTGACCCGTTTCCACTAATGGGTAGCTGCATTAGTAGATGTGTGTTTTATGCAGTTGCTTTGTGTAATCAGCGCAAGATTATTGTTTTTTTTTTACGGTGCCAGATCAAACCTATGATGGAGGAACCCAAAATTAGGACTGTCACACCAAATCTGGGACTGTTGGGAGGTATGCATTGTAAAACACAGTAATGAAACTTAAGTCTGTCATAAATATTATAGGCATACTCAAAGCACCACAACCACTACACCTATTGTAGTGGCTACGGTGCCAGGACTGTACTGGTGCCTTCCCAGGGTAACTGGTTAAAGCACTTGAGAAATGATGGACAACTTTCTTATGGTCCGCTTGGCACTGGCCACCTCCAGTTGCGCAACCAGAATATCTGTGCAGTGAGCTAGTCCATTCCAAATGGACACAGAGGAATACTTTAATTTTAGGGGTGTGAGTAGGACTGTGGCCACTAAATCAACTAAAATCATTTAGTACAAGAAAGAGCTACTTATTTATACAGACTTATTTCTAAACAATAATTGTAGTTTAAAGACATGGTGTTGTAAGTATTATTGGTGTTATACACTCAGATGCACTAAACATATGGAACGTCTACAAAAAGGGAAATTAGGGTAGAAAAAAGGAACAGAGGAGTCCAAAATATGCACTGTTCCTCCTATATAGGGGCACTTGGGAGGTGTGCATGTAAGTTGTTAAACCATTCGCAAGTGGTTTGCTCTACTCCCGTTGAAGGGTGCCAGGGCAGTAATAGCACTATAACCACTACAGCGGACCGTATTCTTTTTTTAAATTTTTTTTTAGACAATTCCTTTGCTTTGCCCTGTGGAAACACTTTGCATTTTTTTTTTTAGTAATCTTGTTCTTGTGAAGTAAAGTATATTTTGTGCAGTTTGTGTGGCAAGTGTAACAGTTTTAGCATCATAATAACTGCAAGGGCTGCAAGTGTGACCATGTTAACAGCCAGATATAAATGCACTAGATCAATGCCTTGAAAACAGAGCTGGCACACCTAAATCACTGAGTCTTGTCCCCATGATGGAACACAGGGGGTGCTACATCATGGACATCTTATGATCCATCTTTGTGATGGATTGGATTGCCTTTCTACACAACAATGCAGAGTGGTGCCATCTGGAAGAAGGTAAAATGGTGAATTTCAAAGTCCAGAAGTGTCTGGTCCTGGAATGCTTTGATAAGTCTTTGCTTGTCACCTGTTTTTCAGTTAATAGTGTGGATATCAGTCATCTGAGGAAGTGTGGAAATTCCTCTGTGGACACGTGCATCAGATACCACTCATATTTTGATCTTCTGTCACCAACTGCTATCATCCAGGGTGTCCACTCTGAGATTCAAGAAAGATTGCGAGGTTTGCAATTGTTGTACTGTACTGATTTTTCACATCTTCTTCAGTGGCCTGGACGTGGTCTGTGACCACTTGGACTTGGTTCTCACCAGGGCAATATCAGCATCAAATAATAATCTGATTCTGTCATATAAATTTAAGATATCCTGTTTAGTTGCTGATTGCAGTCGAAGTGGAAAGTTGATTTTATTAAAGACACGGAGGCTCCTATTATGCTTCTCTTTCTTTAATTCTCCCTCAGCAGCGAAGAGAGATATATGTAAAAGAGATAAAAAAGAATAAATAACATTAGCATATGACAGTGCCCCCATAGGTATCCACCCCCTTCAGTATATAAGGTGTAGCACTCCATGCCTCTTCCTCTTTCTTCGCTGCTCCCTCAGATAAGTACACTCTCACATTTGTTATGGTGTGCTCTGTAGTATTATTGTTGTTATCTCACTGTTTTTTTTTTCACATCTTATTGCTGCATGCTGTATTATTTGGAGACTGGGTTGCATTAACTTGTGTTGGGGACACTATGTGTACCCCTTTTTTGCTCACTATATAGACTGTGCCTTTGCTTTTTTTGTGTGTCTGGGGCTCTGTTGCTACCCCTTGGGTTAGCTTGGTTTTCCCTCCCTCCCGCCCCCCCTCCCCCCGGTTGGGGGCTTCTGCCCCGACCAATCTCACCACCGTTCTTCGCCGTCGGGGCTCTTAGGAGACACCCGCGGCACTTTCGGCACTATTTTGTTACCGCCGGCCGGACCTACTTCTGGCCCGCGCGGCGATTCCCATCTCCTCAGTTAGCCGTTCGCGAGCAACGCGCATGCGCGGTTACTCGCGGCGGCCATCTTTTTGGTTCCTCTGGTCGCCGCTTACGGCGGCGGCCATTTTCTTTACCCCTGTGTGTCTGTATTACCCGCTCACACGCGGGAATTACTTTATCTGTGGCTCTACCACTGTTTCACTCGGTTATACCTCCTATCTCTCCCCTACTCTACCTGGGTTAATCAATCCTGGTATCCCTTACCTACCTCATCTTTTCTACTTTATTGTTTTATTATATTTTCTCTCACTTGCACTACTGCCCTGACCATGCAGTCTGATGAAAAATCCTCTTGAAAATTTAGCACCTCTATGGCCATGACTGACCCTGACCCCCAGATTGACACTGGGCTCATGGGCTCTGAAGAATTTCAATGCCTCCTGGACTCCACCATGTCCAAATCTATATCCAGGGCCATATCTTCAGCCATGGGAGCTATGTCCTCTACTATATCGGACTCCATTACACAGGCACTCAAGCAGGTACAACCTCCCTCTGCCCCTGCCTTGACCCATAACCCCCCTGAGGGGTTGCTACCAGGGCGCAAAGCGCTAACCAAGCGCAGACACTCACAAGACCCCCCCCCATGCAGGTTGACCCTGCTCAGATTGACATGCCTCAGGCTGTCCATGATGGCGCGCAACAACCGCGCAATAGAACTTCTGGGCGAGCTACGGCCACCAGAGACTGGAAACGGGCTAGAACCCAAGATATACTGTCTGACTCAGACGAGGAGGGGGATGAGGGGTCAGACGTCCCGTACTCAGACCCATACGAGGACGAGCTCTCAGAGGGTGAAAGCCTCCAGGGGAAGCAGTTCCCCTTAGCGCCTACTCGTACCGCTACACATTCAGGGGCACCCGAGGCGGCAACAAGCCACGACCCTAAAGAGGTTCTGCTATTTGACCCTGACAACTTAAGACACCCACGCTCGGCGGAGTGGGAACCCTCCGAACACATTGCCCGATACCTGGCCCTCAGAGTACGTAAGTCCCTTTCTCAGGAGGGCCGTAATAAGCTGAGAGCTGAATACACTGCCTCCGAGACCTCCTCCTCCCGGGAGACTGGATGGTGAAACTCGATCTGCAAGATGCATATCTCACGATCCCAATAACCCCATCGCACAGGGACCTGCTACAATTCCGGTGGGGCACAAAGAAATGGCGCTTCTGCTGCCTCCCGTTCGGACTATCCTCCGCTCCCTGGTGCTTTACAAAAATGCTGAAACCAGTGGTTGCATTCCTCAGGTTACACGGTATTCGTCTCATTATATACCTGGACGATATCCTCATACTGTCAGGGACACGATCCCTTCTGCTGTCACACCTATCATGGACCCTTCACCTCCTGCAGAACCTAGGTTTCTTGGTGAACTGGGAGAAATCGGTATTACAACCTTCTCAGCAGATGGAATTCCTAGGATTCCGAGTAGACTCTATACAACAGACCCTGTGCCTACCTTCGGACAAGATGTCCAACATAAAGAAGGAGATCAGGAGGATAATGAACCGCCCGGACATTTCTCTAAGACAACTGGCTCGAGTGATCGGGTTACTGGCGGCCTCCATACAAGCGATCTTCCCAGGACCGCTCCACTACCGGGCACTGCAATGCCTGAAAGCATCTTGCCTAAGGAAAGGACAATCGTACGATTCCAACATCGCTCTGGACGACGAATCCAAGGAGGAACTGGACTGGTGGTTAACCCACATGGAAGCGTGGAATGGACGGGCAATCTTCGGCTCCACTCCAGATATGATAATAGAGTCAGATGCGAGCTTACATGGCTGGGGCGCGCGCTGCGGCTCCATATCCACAGGAGGCAGATGGTCAGTAAGCGAATCTTTTCTACACATAAACTCACTGGAACTACTGGCGGCCTCATTTGCCATCCGCAGCCTCACACCCAAGGGCATCTCCTGCTCAATCCTCCTCAAGTTGGACAACATCTCTGCAGTCAGATACATAAACCATCTGGGGGGTACCAAGTCACGCATCCTGGCAGTCTTGGCGCGAGACTTCTGGCATTACTGTTTGCAAAACAATGTGTCAGTAACCGCGGAACACATACCAGGCCTGGACAACTACACCGCGGACTGGAACTCCCGATACCTAAGAGACCTAGGGGACTGGAGACTCCAACCGAAAGTCTTTTCCAAGATAGCGCGCCTATGGGGCCCCTTGAGTGTGGATCTCTTTGCCTCCAGACTGAACACACAACTTCCTCAATTCTTCAGTTGGCGACCAGACCCGGAAGCCTTGGCAACGGATGCCTTCCTTCAGGTCTGGACAGGGGGACGAGCTTACGCCTTCCCCCCGTTCAACCTGATCGCTCGGACCCTGGCCTACATGCGACGGTACGGAACCACGTTGGTCTTGATAACACCATGCTGGAGGTCTCAACCCTGGTTCCCCCACCTTCTGAAAATGGCAATAGATTTTCCGCGGTTACTACCGGATCAAACGTCCCTGTTGACCAACCCAGACGGGGAGAACCACGACCTGATAGAACGGGGGATCCTTCGACTCATGGCTTGGCTCCTTTCCGGGGACCCTGGGAAATCACGGAGGTTTCGAGAACAACTACCCAACTCCTGGCGAACGCCTGGGCACCAGGAACACGATGCGCATATGCTACGGCATGGAGAGCTTGGTCCGATTGGTGCCTGGAAAAATCGGTGGATCCCATATCGGCTCCTGTAAAGATGGTACTCGACTTCCTTACTCTACTGTTTGAATCGGGCAAGGCATTCCGTACAGTCAACATGTACAGATCTGCTATCTCAGCAGGTCATGATTCTGTGGACGGAATGCCCCTTGGACAGAACCCCCTGATATGTCGCCTACTCAAAGGTATACGTTTCTCACGTCCACCTAAATCCAGATACGGATCCTTTTGGGATGTCAACATAGTGTTCAAATTCCTGGAGAAATGGCCCGACAATGCGGCTCTGTCATTTAAACAGTTGTCTGCGAAACTACTCATGATTTTATGTCTACTATCCTGTAAAAGGGTATCAGATGTCAGAGCTTTGGACTGGCTGGCCCGTACTTTCACTCCGGAAGGTGTCTCTTTTGATATTTCTCGGAGAACTAAATCAGCAACTAAGCAGGTCTTCTACCCACGCCTTCCAAACCAACCGAATCTGTGCCCGGTACTATGCTTAAAGGAATACGAAACCCGTACTTTCCCCCTACGACCATCTAACGACGGCCCTCTGTTTATTGCACTAAATAAACCGCACTTACCAGTATCTACACCTACTCTCGCCCGTTGGGCCAAATGGTTACTAGCTTCGGCCGGGATAGATGTTACTATTTTTTCGGCCCACTCGGTCAGAGGCGCTATGGCCTCCAAAGCATCGACAGTTGGATGTCGATTGGAGGACATCCTGAGGGCCGCAGACTGGTCTACGGAATCCACATTCCGGAACTTCTATTTTAAACCTATCCAACATTTCTCGGAAAGAGTCATTGCTCAGCTTTGAAAGAGCATAATAGGAGCCTCCGTGTCTTTAATAAAATTCCTAGATTTTACTATTAACATGACGTAAAGTCATGATTTTATTAAAGACACGGAGGCGAGTATTATTCCCTCCCGCCCTCCCTGGGTGGAGGATTCGAATTTTCCCTGGGATACCACTTACAGATTAGGTGAGTTCCTACGACCTAACTACCTTAGATAAAGGTCCACGTACGCTGCTCAGGTAAGTGGCTCTGTGTTTAGTTGACGTATCTTGCTATATCTTAGGTTATGACAGGTCTACGTTTGTACAGTTGGTTATATATACATGGGGATGCATGATACATCCAGTTACCTACCAGATATTACCATATTTTCTCCTCTCTCCTTTTAGCCTGAATTACACTACCAAGGTGGTAAAGTTCTGATGCAAGACATTACAGTCAAAACTCATGGATTGGACATTCATCCATCGCCCACTGTTCCTGTTCGGGCCAAGTTTATAGTTCGGTTATGGATCTAGTTTTCGGATCGCAGAAGAAAGAGGAAGAGGCATGGAGTGCTGCACCTTATATACTGAAGGGGGTGGATACCTATGGGGGCACTGTCATATGCTAATGTTATTTATTCTTTTTTATCTCTTTTACATATATCTCTCTTCGCTGCTGAGGGAGAATTAAAGAAAGAGAAGCATAATACTCGCCTCCGTGTCTTTAATAAAATCATGACTTTACGTCATGTTAATAGTAAAATCTAGGAATTGCCGTTGAATCTGACATCCATCAGTCTACCTTCATCATCAGATGCCTCCTTAGTGGCAGAATGTACAGAGTTGTCTGCCGCTGGACTGCAGTGTGAATTTAAGAGGTGCATCGATATCCCTCGCCTCCTGTGGTGGTGTCATATTTTAGCTATACAAAATTAAATTATAAATATTTTTTATGAAGCCTGTTGCCATGCTTGATGCATAGCCCGCCCTACCAGAATTGTCCCATGATAGTGGGAGAGGGAGAGAAAATTGTGATGTCCTGCAGAATTCTGGACAGTTGGGAGCTATGCAGGTTTGAATCAGATTAATTTGGACTAGAAAACAGTTCAATAAAACAAGTATGAATACCAATATAAGCAGCATTGTATTCCCTGTAAGCAGATTGTATTCCCTATAATGCTACACCAGTAAAAAACATCACAGGAAGACCTTATGAAATGGCTCAGGTCCCTCATTTATAAAAAGTAATATTTTATCAGCCTCCATCCCTGTAGCAATTTAAACATTATTTCTACTTAAAGCTTCCCGAAAATCTCCACCCTCTTAACTTATTCACCTTGATACACAAAGTGGGATGATTTTCTCTTATTCTGCTGTTCCCAATTCTGCAATAATTGAATATTGTAATTTGATCATTTAACATCCTGCCCTTTAGAAGTGAGCTTTTTAAAAACATTCAATAATTCATAAGAACATATAATAGCAGTCCGCTCCGTGATGCGAAACTCCCGGCTTCATTGTCTGCTGTGTCTGCATCTTAGCTTTTCTTTTGTCCTGCAAACAGACCAGGCCATCTCATCCTTAATTGTTTGGTGGATATCATGGTTTCTATGGTTACCACATGGGTCCGGTACAAACTCTATGTTCCAGTTTTAGACCCTGGGGATGCTCCTACAGCCGGAAATTATGCTGTTTTAGGCAGATGCCTGACATCTTCCCAGTCGTGTAGCGTCCAGCAGACCCCAGCTTGTCTGCCTGGCTGATACCAAGGAATAGTTAATGAACCTGCAATAAAAATGGCCAATAATTAAACTGATTTAGAATTTGGAACCCTGTAAAAGATGCCATCTTACTGATGGTGGGATAAAAATATTACTGAGTGACATGCTGACTATGTAGAAGATAGAGCAGTGGTTATGAAAAAGTAGATCTCCAACTGTTGAAGAAATACAACTCCCATGAGGCTTTGCTACACATTAAATTGGCCAAATTTCATGGTTGTTGTAGTTCTGAGGCTGAGGGATCCATATTGTGATTACTTCTAAACTATAGCTTTAGAGATATAACTGGATTCAGAGTCTTCTTCAAATTCACTATCAAAAAGAATAAATCTTTTTTTTCTGAAAATCTCGAGTATGAAACTATTGAAAACATATAAAAAATGCTAAGGCGTATATTTCGTTGAGTAGTAATTAGCCTCATGAGAGGTTATTCTGTGTGTGACCTTGCTGTCATCACCTGCAGGGCATAAATCAGCCATGTAACCTGAGGCCTGGTACAAAGAGTGAGACCTGGCCCTTGTAACTCAGCCATCAGATCTTAGTCGTGATGGGTCCAGTACAGCAGTATTCCCAGAAGGCCTTTCCACGTCCTGAAAAAAAATGGTTTGTCACCTCCTATGGCTGACCTGCCATCTCTCGGTGGCAATGACCTGTCATCTTGACTGTGACAATGACTTTCTGTGGCTGCTGGGGGATATTTTTTATAGCTGTATCCTGCTAAATCTTATTAATGGTTGGATACAATAAGCTGTTATCTCGCTGTGACAATAACTAACTATCTCTCGAGCAATGACCT